AATATAATGACTCAAACTAGTAGGGACAGTAATGTGCGGAAATTACTTAATGAAAATTTTATAAAACAAAGGCTAAACTCGTATAACTGGGCGCAATTATCGGATATAACATGTCCACTTGTGTTGTTTCAAACATTATGTACTATGTTTGATAGGATATATAGGGAAAGTGCAACTGTAGTAACAACTTGTAATAAAAGTTTAATAAGACAACCATGGATAGATAGATATTTATATAAAATTATATTAAGACGAGAGTATTTGTTTAGAGTGTGGAAATGTGAACCAAAAAATATGAATAAGCGATTAGAATACACAAAATTTAGAAATAAAGTAATTAAAATTATAATTAAGGCTAAAAATAAATATAGACAGATAGAAATAAAAAAATGTAATGGGGACTTTAAGAAAATATGGGCAAAAATAAACCAGTGGCTGGGGCGAAATAAAGTAAGTATAGATGATGTAATATTGCGGCATTTAGGTAAGACAGAAAACATGATACAAATATGTACAAATTTTTCTAAAACATTTACTGAAGAAATTAAGGGAATAAAGCATAAATGTAAAATTAAATTTTTAAATAGAAGTCAATATGTGAATCCGAGTGTGGTGAGTTTTAGATATATGATGGTGTGCTCTTTAGATGTAGAAAAGCATAGTATGTATGGAATTAGGATAAAAGGCATCAAATATATACGGAAACAATTAAGTCCTGTTATAGCAAATTTTATGAATATGTGTATGTTGAAGAGTATTTATCCCGATCAGTTAAAACATGCTATTATACGCCCTATATATAAGTCAGGAAACCACTTAGAATATGTTAATTATAGACCTATAGCCATATTATCTATTATTGATAAAATTTTTGAAAAAATTATTGTAAGTCAAATTTCTAAATTCTTGGAATGTCATAATATTTTGTCAGACGCTCAGCACGGTTTCCGCCCGGGGCGCAGTACAGTTTCAGCACTTACGGAATTTGCCGATTACATTAACGAGTCTTTGGACGCTGGTAAACAAATTATAACACTTTTTATAGATTACAAAAAGGCGTTTGACACCCTGGATCATGACATTCTGCTACAGGCGATGGATGAATGTGGAATACGAGGCCCTACGAATAAATGGTTTCGGAACTACCTGAGTAATAGAAAAATGCGTACGATGATAGCTGGTGTGACTGGTGAGGATATGCATGTGGATTTGGGGGTGCCGACTGGATCAGTATTTGGTCCATTGGGATATGTGATGCATGTGAATAGTGTGTCAAATGTCGTAAACAAGTGCCGCGTTTTTATGTACGCCGATGATATGTGTATTGTTTATGCTTCCAAGGATATATCTGAGATACAAAGCTATGTACAAGAAGATTTTGAAAGTATAACTAAGTGGGCACACGATAATGGAATTATATTGAATCTGTCGAAAACCAAGTGCATGCATATACACTCACCATACAATCGACAAGTTAAAATTATTAATAAAGAACAGATACATATAATTGGCCACTCATATGAATGCCTACATGCTAATAAAATCTACTGCAGGTGTGATAAAATAGATTATGTCAATACATTTAAATATTTAGGCTTAACTATTGATCAAAATTTTAGCTGGAAAACGCATGTTAATGACATATGTAATAAATTAAGATCTATGGTATGTAAGTTTTATCAATTAAATGCAGTTGTAGACAAGCACACGTTACGCATTGTGTATTATGCGCTTGCTGACTCACTGATTAGCTATGGACTCATTGTATATGGGCGGACGTTTTGCACCTTTTAAAAAAATATTAAAAATTTACAAATAAGGCTGATTAAGTACCTAGTGACCAAAAAAGTTAAAGATAATTGTGAACAGGACTATAATAAATTATTTCCTATTTGTAAAATACTGCCTGTAGACAAAAAAATCGAATACTTAATAGGCATACGTCACTACTATAGTAATGATTATAAAAGATATGTTAATAATAAATACAAGAAGTGTAAAATGTAAAATGCTTGTTAAACCGAGAATGAATAATTATTATGGGGAAAGATTATCAAAATTTCTAATACCTAAGATATTTAATAAATTTGAACTTTTGAGAGGGAGTCCGCAACTCAGTAAAAATGTGTTGAAGTCAAAACTTAAACAGTTGTTTCTTGATGAATTATCATTGGAGTAGTAGTTATTTATAACAGAAGTTTATGTGTTTTAATTATTGCCTGTGTTGGTTATAATTATAGTGTAAAGAAATACTTAATAAATGTGTATAATTAATATTATAAGTAAATTAGTAGTATACTTAGAAGATATTATGTTGAAAATCGAGCGTGTCTCGCCATCAAACGTAAAAGTTTGGCGATAATAGCTATGTAAGCCTATTCTTTGTATATTTTTTGTGATTAATAAATTAAAAAAAAAATTAATATGTATAATATTCGCGTAAAATCAAGAAAACAATATAATAAAACGCTATTTGTTAATGCAATAAAAATACCATTTGTGGATTTCTTTTCTCTCATTTCGACTTTGCTTTAACAAAAGCTTTAACAAAACTTTCTGTTACCATGAAAATTATCGTTTGGCTTACGCTTAGAAATTATTTTAAAAATTATTAATGGTTTAAATAATTTCTAAGCGTAGCTCCGACGTGGCATCAAGGCATTATAGACGGCAAGGTGTATATGATAATGACACCAACATAAATGACCATCTATAGCTTAGTTTAATTTTGTATTCCATTAATCCACATAAAAAAATATTAAATGTAGTCTCTATGCTAAGAACGTAATATTTAATAAAAAAATATTAAATACTACGTTCCGGCCTGAGGTTCCGCCACTCCCCACATCTCGGGCGAGGAAGGTCAGGAGAACCCTCGTCTCCCGCAGCCCAACCACTGCTGCTGCATGAACGGTGCAGACCCACCGAGTTGCCAAACGTAATATCAGCTCTCCTCATCGTGGCTCCATCTTTACCACCCTCAACCTGCACCCTCCTTGTACGCATCCAAAGTGGGCGCAATGAGACCACTTGGAGTGGCCATGGATGGCCAATCCACGACTACTAAGCCCCACCGCCACGACAAGGCGGGAACCCCATCGGAGGGGATTTCTGTCCACACCGCCGGATTCTTCACGCTGTTTACATTTATACAGATATGTATGTCAAATTAGTAAGATAACAAAGGTCATAAATTAAGTAGGTATTATTATTATTATTTAGGGAGGTAATCGCGGTCCACTTTCTCAAAGCTTGTCAATGCATCTGCAAGCCCCTCAGGTGCAGGTAATGTCCACGGGCAGCGGCGTATACTTAACATCGGGTGGACCGCTTGCAGCTGCAATAAAATAAATTCTAATTCATTTTAAATTCAAATATCTTTATTCATTACAGAAACATTGCACTTATTTATTGTTTTTCAAAATACAACCACCGCTTCGGAAAAAAAGCGACTGACCTGAGAAGAACCGACGAAAGAAACTACTTTACCATATATTAAAGTCCACTTGAAAGAGCCTGGAGCTATCATTTCATTTTCAGAGTGGTGTATCATTACTGGTATTGAAAATTAATTTATAACTTTGAACAAATTCTTGTTTAGAATTAAGAATTAACATCGTCTTCACCCTTAGCCCTTTAGACTGCCTAAATAAGCAAAAAAATTGCCTTTAGTAGATCTCCAACGCTACGTCTTCTGATTTGTGGTCGCCACTCAAAAACCATCCTTTTCCATGGGTCATCAGTAGTCCGAGCGATGTGAACTGCCCATTACCGTACAATCATAATCTGGGATAAATTCGCCTAAAACTTATTCACCTTGAATGATTTATTATTGGTTAAATGCAAAAATTTATCAATTACCTTTAAATTGTGATTTCCTAATTTATTTGTAGCGCCTTAGTTTATATTAAAGTGCACCTTACTAACCTACTGTAATTACCAATAGGTTTAAATAAAAAAAACATATAAAAACTTGTAAATTCTAAAATCTCTGAAATCGATATGAAGTATTTCATATTTTGAAATAAATAAAATGGTGGATTTCTTTAGCGGAAATAAAAATTTCTTTATAATATAAAACGTTATATTCAAAACGGTATAAAAAAAGTCAATGTTAAGTACCTACTCTGTCTGTGAGGTACTTTCTTTTTGGTCATCTGCTGCACAGTGATGTACTTGGAATAAAGTAGGCTTTTTCCAGTTGCACTGAAATTTGTATTATGTAATAAAATACAGAATTTAAACGTTTGTAATTATATATAAATAGATTCAAGGCCGTTGGTAAAAGCTTAAGGCATTTATCCCCCTCGAAACACGCATCTGACATGGTTCCGTTCCTATCCATCGTTTTTGTATAAAATAATTGTTTCACATATTAATTGTTTCGCTAATGTAATTTTCGTAAGCGATCGATCGATAACAATTATTATTTGCTTTGTATAGGTTCCATTAACGAAGCCAAATAATCCAAAGCAAGGTTCAAACCTTCATCTATGAGGCCCGGGGGTCGTGCCACCGTTGTTAGTCGAAATGCACATGTTTAGTTAACAGGGGTCGCGGAGATGCAGCGGAGCGGACGGTGTCGTCGTGTCGCCATCGCTCACAAGCTAAGTGAACACCTTTCTGCTGTCATGAAACTGTCAAAGCCGCCGGGCTATTAACAGACGAGAATGATGAAAAAATTTTATTCATTTCATAAATAGTAAAAAAAAAAATACTTAATATGTGTATTTATGTTAACAAATAAACTAAATAATGACAATGATTATTAAGACAGAATTTTTTTTTTTTAGTTTTGTATTTCTATTCGATAGTAAAGAGTTACATAATTAATAAAAATATTTTGACCAGATAAGAGTTGCTAAAAATGCGTATTTAGCCAAATTTTTCCATAGCTATTTCTGAGAATGCGCGTCATTTACCTGTCAAATAAACTGTGGTGTCAGAATCGGACAAAGATTTGGAGTCGCAATTTGCCCAATTTCCGATTTTTATCAAAAATGTCCGCTAATTCACCACCAGGATCAAGTGATGGTAAGATATTAATAAAATTTGCCTGTCATACATATGCGTTAATATTAAACTTAATCGATAAGAACGAATTTTAGACACAGAGCCTACCGACAGAGCCGTCCCGCCAAATCTTATCGAAAGTTTAGGAGCTCGAATTCGTGATTTGGATGTAGATTCCATTCGTCATTATTTAGCCCAAAAACTAGGCTTTTACGAGCCATCTGAGCCAACCAGTCCAGTAGAGCAAGTCTTGGAAGAAGTATCTTTGGAAGGTATCGTTAAATGGATTAAGAGCGAAAAGTGTAAGAATATAATAACACTATCCGGCGCAGGGATATCCACAGGTAATATATTAATTAATTATCAATTTATCATATAATTCTTACCGACTTTAAGTGGTTGTATCGCACCTTCACTTACAAAATAATAATTTGTAGTAAATAATGCATTAGCAATTTTATATACACCTGTAACTAAATTGTCCTTCATATTTGTTTTAGCGGCAGGAATCCCAGATTTTCGCAGTCCAGAAACCGGTTTATACCACAACCTTCAAAAATACAATCTTCCTGAACCTCAGGCTATATTCGAAATTAATTTCTTTAGGGAGAATCCTAAGCCATTCTTCACATTAGCAAAAGAATTGTATCCAGGAAGTTTCAAACCAACATTATCTCATTATTTCATCAAACTACTGTGTGATAAGGGTAAGACTTAATATATATTTTCTTCATAGCTACAATTATTCATTTTGTTATCATGATCATCATCATTTCAGCCTATTTGAGTCCACTGATGAACATAGGCCTCCTCCATTTTGTTATGCCAACTCATAATTAAGTAATGGGTGAAATGTAGTTAAAAAGCACATATAGTGTTAGTTTTTATAATATTATTGTGTAGTACTTATCAATTGTATTCACTGTGTAATTAATACTTATTTACAGGGCTTCTTCTTCGTCACTACACCCAGAATATTGACACATTGGAGCGTGTTGCTGGTTTACCAGAAGAGAAAATAGTAGAAGCACATGGTACTTTCTACACCTCACATTGCCTGGATTGCAAAAAAGAATACTCTCTAGATTATGTTAAAGGTTAGTTACAAATATAGTATTTCCTTTAATACACTTGACTTTTTGGAATATACAGCATGTCGTTAAACCATGACAAAAAATGAACACACATCTAACACTACTTGCCAATAATCATAAAAACATACAAAATTAAAAAAAATACTTTATTAAAAAAATAATTTTCTAACAAATTAATTAAATAAAAAAGAAACAAAATTTATAATATTTTATACAGCTACAAATGAGTGATTCATACATTCAGAGACTTTCATTCGTTGCCACAGCATCGCATTACAAGTCTCTCCTTCTAACAGTATGTTTTATCTCTTATAAATTCAGTCAACCCATTCGTATGCTTTCTGACCTTTACGTTACAGTTTTATACGTAAGGGTGTTCAATACTATTTACTAATATACTATTATGAATAATTAAAATAAATTTTTATTTAATATACTTTTTTTGTTGTTTTTTTCTAATTAGTTGACCATTATTGTTCATACCTATTTTCGAAATAATAACAAAAATATATATATATATATATATATATATATATATATATTTCGAAAATATGTGAAGTCCGCCAATCCGCAGTGGGGCCGCGTGGTGGACTATGCCCTGATACCCTCGGTATAGAGGTGGCCTTTGCCCAGCAATGGGACATGTATAGGCTGTTACTTTACTTTATGTATACTACTAAAATTTGTTTATTTATCAATAAAGTACTAAAAAAAACCTAATGCCTTTAGGCATACTTTTCAAATAAACCTGATAAAAAAACAAAAAGGTTAACTTTAAATTAACCTGCTCTAATTAATTCTTTTTTCTTTTTCAGAAATAATTTTTCGGGATGAAATACCTATATGTACAAATTGTCCTGGTATTATAAAACCAGACATTGTGTTTTTTGGTGAAAGTCTACCAGACAGGTTCCAGAGATGTCTTCAACAAGATTTCCAACGGTGCGACATGCTAATTATCATGGGGTCATCACTTGAAGTACAGCCTTTTGCATCTTTAATTGATATGTAAGTGATTAAAAGGGATCACATATGGACATAAGAAAACTTATTGGCTCTAACTCACAAATAGGGACATTACACTAGAGCCCATAAATTTTTAAGTATCAAGAATACATACTTTTCTTCTCTGTCTTTTGTTATCGATATAGTACCATACAGGGAGGCTTTTCTAAGTGTATCCATTTTTTTTATTAAATTCTAGGCATAAATAAAGTTACGTAAAAAATGACAAATATTTAAAATCACTTGTAATTAATTAATTACATTCATTTTAACTTATCTCAGAAAGTGCACGATTTATGGTGAACTCATTTATTTTACGCGCGATCATTCATAACTAACACGCACACAAGTTCGTTTCAAAAGTATACGATGCATTTATGAATTACTACCGCATTATCAACAAGTTCTGATTTTTAGGGAATAGAATGGCAATTTTTTTGAAAAAATAAAGTTTGTTTTTATTTCAATAAATGATTATACTACCCCTCCTGTGTGAATTTGGGCACCTTTATAAAAGCCACCCTCTATATTGTACTAAAGTGCAGAGCATGTATATACTTTGTGTCTGTGGTTTCCTCTTATTGAAAATGATTCTTAACTACAATTTTATTTAAATATTGCCTTAACATTGTTGCAAAATATTTTCAGGGTTCCCGAATGGTGTCCCCGTTTACTCATAAATCGAGAGAAAGCAGGTGTACGGTCGCCTTTACTACAGCTGTGGGGACTCTCAGGAGGCGGGTTACAGCTAGATGAAGAGTCCACAAGGGATGTTGCTCGTCTCGGCGATTGTGATGAAGGTTGCCAGGATCTTGCACAAAGACTTGGATGGGGGGTCAGTATATTTATTTTAATTTAAGTTTTTTATTACATATTTTAGTTTTCAATTAATAAAGTAGCCCATGAAATCATTTCACATACCTCCAAAATGTTTTTAACTAATATTAAGTTTCTTAAGTATGTCTTGAATGATATACTGCTGAATCAGTCACAACTTTAAAGTTAGGGAATATTTATAATAGTTGTTACGATTACTTTAAACTTTTATTATTTAAATATTTTTTTCTTTGCAAAGTAAAAATACAGTTTACAACTCCTTGTACAATTTAAATATTTTTTTATGTGAAAAGTTGCCAAACGAGCAGATGGTTCATCTGATGTTAAGTGAATACCGCCGCCCGTGGACATCTGCTATACCCTCGGGTTCCAGATGTGTTGACAACCTTTTGAAAATTGGGCTTCGGCTACCTCACTCACCAGACGAAACGCGAAAGTATTATACTTCCACTTTATTTTCCGCTGGTCTTCTGTGAGGTCTTGGTACTTACCCAGACGAGCCTGCCCATTCATGCAACAGCCGAGGCTGCTGCGTGGCTCTACCACCGTAAAAGTTTTAGTTATAACATATTTAAATGAATAAAAATATAAATCATGCTTAAATTTTTAGGAGGAATTGCAAGCTTTGGTGGCGCGCGAGCACGCTCGTTTGGAACGTGAAGGTCACATTACTACAGTACACACACCAATAAGTAATATAGAAATAGGATCAGCTGGGTCCAGCACAGCTGAGCATAAATTGTAAGCATACATTATTCTTCCATATTAGTGGCTCTGACCTATCTGGGGCCGCAAAAATCTGCGTAAAATGCAGTTTAATTGCATTGTATTAATAATGCAGTAAGGAAATTTTTTTTAGTAAATAGAGACAAATTTGCTATCAATTCCATCCCAATATGAAGCATTATTTTTGATCTATTGTCATTATTATCATTATGTTGGTATCCAAGAATATTTATAAAAATGACAAATTTAATTTCCATCATCTTAATATTGTCCATATAGTGTCCATTCTCGGAACACAATTGGACCCTATATAGGCATTATAAGATACACTCTAGAAGGCTATCATTAGTATTCAGTGCACAAATTTATCCAACACATTCTTAGATACAATTCCAGAAACATCAATGTAAGATTTTGAAATTCAGAATCTATCTGACATGGACTAATTTTGCAGATTACTGCAAAAGGTGTCAGTTAATAGTTTTAAGACATATTTCAAAATTGGAATATAATAAATTATTTTAATCATGGGTAATGAATAATAATATTATTCATTCATTCCATATCACCTTATGGTGACATTGATGCTGTTTTACATTTTTCGCCAAAAATATCAATTTAATTTTTTTCTCTATCATGGTAATTGGACATTGTGCTCTAAGCTTATAACTTAATATTATATTGTATTTATATTAGAAATGTTAGTAATGTTTTGTCAACAGTTAAACATTCTATGATTAAAAAAAAATATTAAATATGAATTTTACTTCAAAATGTTAATACCATTTATTAAGACTGCTAATTAAAAAAATTTAGGGCTTTGTCCTGCTTCTCAGCCTAACTTGTGAGTTATTTTGAAGTGACTTGATATATAAAGGAATAAAAACTAAACTAAAATTTAAAATGACACTATTAAAATATAAGGTAGCATTTTTTTAAACATAAAACTTATGACAAAATGGCTACATCTATGACAGGCGATTTTCTTCAAGTAAATATAAATACTGTTGTGGCTTGTATAATATTGTCTCATTGCTTAATGAAAACAAGTACTAAAAATGAATGTACAAATTTTAGCTCTCGATTTCTATATCCTCTAAGTATACTAACTAAATCACTACAAAGGAAAAGAAATAATATGATAAAAAAAAAACCATATGGTATTTCCGTTCATTGCTTTCAAATATTTAATGAAAATTGTAGCCATTATGTGTAAGCATTATCCTATTCACTCATTTATAAAATATAATTAATATTATGTACCAAATTGTTTGAGATAGCATCAAGTAACAGAATTGATAATTGATATGTATAGATAAATGATAGCAAGCATATTTATTTCACTTTCATTTTATAATTTAACCAACTTAATACTGATCTGTGTGACTTCCAAATAAATTGGGAAATAAAAATAGTGCTTCGAAAGGTAAAACAAAGGGTACTTAAGTTTCGTTCATATTATTATTTCTTCTTAAGTAAGTTAATCATTTTATTATTGCTTATACAAAAAAATCAGACATTGCTTAAGGAAAAAGACTTAAAAACATAATTTAGGTTTGAACACTACAATCTGAATTGATCCTATGTGTTAGAAAAATAAGTAATTACCTTAAGTTTATTTCCAGAAGGCCTTTATATTATTTCTTGTTAAAATTATGTCCTCAAATTTATGACTCACTTTAAAATATGCCTGCCTCATATTAATTTTATGATAATATTTTATTCCTTAGATTAAGGTGTGATATTTTCTTTTCAAATTTGAGCTTGATCTAATAGTTGTATAGGTGGTTAACTTTCATACAGATGCTTTTGTTTTGGAATCATTATTTATTTTTAGAAATTTAATTCATGTTATAAACAAAACTTTAAATATTTAACCCCATTTGTAAAGCTGTATGTCACTGGTATTCTGCTAATATACAGTGTGTCGTTACAACCGCGACAATAAATCAACACACCTCTAAGGCTACTTGCCAATAATCATAAAAAAATATTAACGTTAAATCCACAATAAAAAAAATATTATTCAAACAAACTAATTAAGTAAAAAAGAAACAAAATTTGTAACATCCTATACTATATTACTATATATTCATAGACTTTCATTCGTTGCCGCAATGTCGCATTATTACAAGTCTCTCCTTCTAACAGTATGTTTTGTCTCTTTTAAATTCATTCAACCCATTCATATGCTTTGTGACCTTTACAAATTAACTTTACATTACAGTTTTTTAAGTAAGGGTGTTATAAAATTCTTTGTTTTGGAAAATTTAATAACTCGGTAAATATTGATGTTTAAAGAATGTAAATGTTTAATACAATTTTAAAAAGTTATCCTCTATATGTGTGTTCATTTATCCTCTATATGTGTGTTTATTTATCGACGCGATTGTAAAGACACGCTGTATAAATGATAAAGTGTTACACATGTCCATGTACTTATTTTCAAGTAATAATATAAAAGACTATTTAATATTTTGTGCTGACATATTTGATCATAGTTTTTAGCATTAAGTTGCATGAACAATTGTTGAAAATTACAACATTGTTTTTTTTGGTAACTAAAAAATTACATTGGTTTAAGTATAGTAAAAAATATCAAATATTTCAAAAATTATCACATTTCTCTCATTTTCTTTTGGCAGTGAATATTATGAAATTAAAAATAGATTATATTTTTATACCCACATGACTTAAATATATAAAAGTTTTGTAAATAAATATAATCAGTTGTGTATTTCAGAAAGTTCTTATGATTGATTGTGTGCTACATGTTACAAATTCCATTATACATACTAGTTGGTAGTAAAAAGAATGACATATTAGATATAGGATATTTGAAGTTATAAGATCCAATAATAATGTTTGAGACTCTTGCGCATGCGCATAATTGCACTTATTATATGTGAAGTTTAGTGTGAAATTGAATTAAATTTGGAATGGAAATATTTACTATTTTAATTTAAAAAGCATCATGTGAGTGAAGGTTTAAATAAGAATAAATATTTTATTGCCATTAACTCAATAGATGTGATGCTTCATATAATCCAAAGTGCCGCTTATATAATCAATAAGCTTTATTTTATAAAACTGGTCCTTAATTATCGTAAATTTAAATCTGTCCATACAATATTCAGTAAAATGATGAAACTCATTGATTTTTGACTGGAATACATAATTTGTCCTAATATATTATATATATTGACACATAAACATATCTTATTTATAAAAATGGTTTGCTGTTCGTTAGTCTCACCAAAACTCGAGGATCGCTGAACTGAAAATCGAAATAGCAACAATTTCATTTTCCCATACAAACTGTACCTACCTGTCAACTATGTCTGTGTAACCTGTCAAACACTTCCAAATTCGCTAGAAATCATTTATATGGCAAAACACTATAAGAAGTTTGAAACAAAAAGGTATTTTTTATTTAATTACATATTTAGAGATAACATGCATATGGGTCTTAAAGATTATACGGATCTATAGACTGAAACGATAAGCAATCTTACAATGTGAATCACCCTGAATGCCTTCACCCTATTTATTCTTGATGTATATTTAAGTAAAACGCAATAAACATAAAATAGACAAAAGGTAATAAAAGATATATTAGTCATTGTTTATGTTATGGTAATATGGATTTTAATTAAGAAATATTTATATTTTTTTATTATATAGTAGGCGGCGTTTTAGTGTAAGTGCTTATGTTAGTTGTGAGTTAATAAAATACTTTTCAGTCTCAATTTGTTTTGTCTTAATTCTGTTACGTCATGAAATGTGGAATGAGGACACAGTAAATAGGGCTCTTTACCAGGCTGCTGTTGCATAATTCGTGGTTAAATTCCCATTGGTGCACATTTCGTAAATGTAAACACACTCAAATGCTAACTTTACAGTCTTCCATTTGTAACCGTCCATATTTGCTACCTTCTCGAAAACTATCTAAAAACTCCATAAACTCTCAAAACACAGAACTTTTAATTCACGGTCCTATAAAAATAATTTGTGAGAGACTACTTACATTACAAATCTTGGATTAAATGTAATAATTCATTGAGGTATGGTAATGTGCCTATATATGTCCCATGACTGGGCAATAGCCTCCTCTGGACAGAGGGTGAGGCTGGGCATGTGATAAGTGAGCATTTAAAATTAATAATTTCATTGGTTTGAATAATTGTATCCTACCATACAGATTATTTATATATTATTTTTTTATATGAATTTAATGCTTTTTCAATAATATTGCAGTTATGTGCACATCATAACCTATAAAAAATGAGTGCAGTAAAACTAAAAAAATATTTAAAGAATAACTTTGTTATTGTATAAATTAATAATAAATTATTATTTTTTTTAAATGATATATACATACAGCATTAATACTTATAAATCGGATGCTATATAAATGCGTCATCGCCGTAACGCGTTTCCGTAGCCTTTTCGTCCTCTCAAGCATACAATATATTTTTAGTATGACACCAGTAACTACCATCACAACTCATCATTAAAAAATGATTACTCACACATGATTTGAAATTTTCGCAAATTCTACCTTTTACACGACTACAATTTGTAATAAATAAGAATAATAACATTATCTCGACTTTTCCAGTATATTTCACACTCCTTACATACTCAACTGTGTACAACCCTAAAAATCAGCTGTTGTGGTTTGTTTACAAATATTCTGCATCTAAGTCTTAAATTAAAACATATTTTAAAAACTGGATTGAGGAAAACTATGATTTAGATATAAATATTTTATTTAACATTCCAGATGTTTTTTGTATCATAAATTGTGTGCAGGTTAAATCACAGGTCCCTTCTGTTATAGTTTTAAGCTCAAAATATTAAGTAAGGTACAAGTGTAAAACAAAGCTGTAACTTAAAAATAACTTAAGAGTATTAGGTGTACACAATAGCTTAAACACTTGTTTCTATCGCTGAAAAGGTTGACCATTGATTACAGTTAAACAATATTATAGTTAAAAACATTAAATAAAACTAGTAGTTACGATAAACAGTTCCTATTAATACATCAACATCCTTTGACTTCTTTGATTGACAAAAAATTATTTGATTTTAATGTTGTAATTAAGATAATTCACTGGATAACTTTAAAAAAAAATATTTACAAACACCTCTCAGCCTAGTTGCATAAAATTGTACTTGGTAATGAAATCACTGTAACTTGCTAGCACTTCACTCTTTTGCATCTGTTATTCCCTCAGTACTGATAGCGAACATAGCCTCAGTCTCCGGCAGACAGGGGCTATCATATATTTTGCATACTCTGTTGTCTCCCCTTCCTTTCCTCAAGTACAACCGCGTTGTGGAGGCGTGCGCAATAATGTGACCTCCGATCGGTTTCTTTGTATCTGCATTAAAAACTCCCACAGCATCTACTTGTGCCACTACTTGGTTTGTGATTATGACCGCTACACCAAACTGTAAATTAATAATACAACAAAAGCTGATTGGTAATAATTATATTGGTAATAGGTAATTTTTTGTTAATATAATAATTATTAAATAATTTGCACCTTAACATGAACTATAAATCCGAATTAATTTAATAGAACATAAAAATAACATTGGCATTGAAATTTAACAGCTGTTTTTTAAATCTATATAGAAAAAGAAATAAACAACAGGATCCTAAGGATCCTGAAGTATATAAGTAGCAGCAATGAACAGATTTATTACAAGATTTACTTACAAGTAGAGTAGTATTCAAGCATTAACACAAAAGGGAAATTACCTCATCAGCAAGACGGAGTAACATTCTCATGAATCGGCCAAGGTGCAATTGCCTTGAATTCAATTCTCCTCTCCCAGAATAGTCAGTCCTGTATAAGGCTGTTGCACTATCAACTATCAATAAAGAATATCTGAAAATAAACATAAAATTGTGTCATTTCTACAAATATCTCTTTATTTTGTATCAACAGTAAGTAGGCTTTTTAAATCAAGTTTTTATTGATTACTTCAAATTTATAAAATATAATTAATAAAATTTTTATAGTATGGCATATTCACCTGGACTCTGCCATCATAGCACAAGCTTGGACCAGAAGTTGTGTCTGGTGATCTGTGTTGTAAGCCCTTGCATAAGCCACATTATCAAGCACTGCGGCGCCCTCCATACCATAACGTTGCGCCACGGCCAAGAGACGCTCTGGTCTAAATGTACCTTCAGTATCAATGTACATACATTTGCCTTCACCGCCTGATTGTTCAATAGGTAACTGTGAAAGAAACATTTGTATAATACACAGAAATAGACCAGCTTATAACCAGGAATCTTCATGACATTCGGCACAACATCTTTGCAAAGAATCATTACAATTGAATTACTAGAAGAAACAAATAACTAAAAAACACAACAATCATTATGATTAAATTTATTCATAGGAAAAAGATATAAACATTTTACATAGCTTCCCTAATATATATATTTTTTAAAAATATTTAGTTCAATAACTGATTGAAACTTAGTTTATCAGCGTTCCTCTGCCAATATCTTTCCCAATATAAATAAAAATTGTAGAAAATTTGTACGGGAACAACTTCAGAAATTTTTGTTCTGCTATTGTCAGCTAATAATTATATTATAATTAAATAATTTAATTTAATGTGAGTTTAATATCCCCTTGGTTTCATCTATATTTCATTTACCTGACATGTTACAGCTAAGGTGTGACACAATTGCGTTTTTCCTGTCCGAAATTCACCAAATATCTCAGTAATGGAACCTGTTTCTATTCCACCTCCCAATAACCGGTCAAGCTCTTTTGATCCTGTTGTCAATTGAATTATTTCCGCCCTAGAAATAAATCATATATAAAAGTTAAAGCAAAATATCAGCCTATATAGGTCCCACTGCTGAACAAAGGGCTTCTCTGTACAGAGGGTATCAGGGCCCATCCATCACATGGCCCCACTGAGGATTGGCGGATTTCACATATCTTGGAAATTGCTTTTTATTATTATTTCGAAATTATGCAGGTTTCCTCACAATGTTTTCGTTCACCACAGAGCATGTGATAATTCGGCACTTAAAATTCACATTTTCTTTGGTGCCGGCACCGGTATATTGAATTAAAGGCAAGCACCCGGACACTGAGCTATCATGGCTTTCAAACAAAATAAATATTTTCTGTCAATACCCGGCCAGTTCTTCTTTCAACTTTTCAATAAGCAGTAAGTTAAAGTGGCCCACACATAATAATATTGCATATTATATGGACATTGTATTCCAGATTCTACCTTTTAATTAATATTTCTAGAACTTTTATGTTCTCTAAGGGATTTAATCCAAGGATTCAGAACAAATTTAATAGATCAAAGACAGCTTCTGCTTCATAGAGAATCTGGAAGATTTTACCTCCTAGCTTATAAATGATGATAATGAAAAAATCTTGTAAATGCTATGTATTGCTTTTTTTTTATACAATTTTAAAATGGAAATCACTCAAGATTTAAAGAATAAATTTTGTACATATCATCAAATTGTGTTTTATAAATAAATATGTTACCTCTTTTGATGAAACTCTGTTGCAGTTGTAAAGCCCATTGGTACTAACTTTGAAGCTTCTGCCAAAATTTTATCAGCCTTGGCTTCAGATATACCCTTAATAGTTATTAACCATTTTTTTGGAGCGTAAGCTACTGATTCTACGGTATGATAACCAGCTTCCTCCAATTTTTTTATATCACCCGAAGTTATTCCATTGCCCTAGTGAAAGAAATAACTTTTATTTATAAGCGTAATTTCACGCGTTTAAGTAATATCCAAATTTTTACATGATTTAAATTAAATGACATTACTTCCAATTTATTAATAAGTTGAGGTCCACATTCATCCAAATCTTCATCAACAGAAGCAGTTGTCGCAGATGCTGTTGCCATCATATCTTTAGTCTTCTATTACCGAATCATTGAGAGAGCTTTAAATTTAAGGTGTGAATACCGGCTTAATTTCTTTGTGTAGATTAGCTTGGACCTTGAAAATAAAAAAATAAAACGTAATAATTATGTACTCTGCCACAATATGCTTTTGAACTTCCATAGATTTGTATGTTTCTTCTATTTCATTGAATGAAACTTTTAAACATCAAAGTGTCAATGTTTCCCTCCATAAAGAAATTTTCACAGAGAATCAACTATTTTTTTCATTTCATACATTTGAATTGTTTGTAATTTGTTTTTATCCCGCTTAGTCTTATCTATGTATGAAGTGGTCCGCAAGGCAAGATAATATGCACAGCTCTAGAGATGTTAAAGCATTAATTCTTCTTCCTTCTCCGGCCCTTATCCCACACTAGGTGGGATGGGATTCCATCATTTATTTTCGTAATCATGTTGTTATTTCAGTTATTGGCTTTATTTTTATAACCGGCCGCTTGCCTGACGTTAACCCTCCTTGGGAATTTAAATTTATCTAACATAAAATATTTCATAACTAGTAAATATACTAATACAGGTACAAAACTTAATGAAATGCACACACTTAAAACATTTCAAACAGGAAACTGGTGTCCTGATCGTCGTATTCTCTCTAAATGCAGTTCAAAATTATATAATAATTACAATTTTAACTGTGGTAGGGACACGCAGCAGCCTCGGCTGTTGCACGAATGGGCAGGCTCGTCCGGGTAAGTACCATGACCTCACAGAAGACCGGCGTTAAGTGAAAGTAAAATACTTTCGCGTTTCGTATGGTGAATGGTGAGATGGCCGGAGCCCAGTTTTCAAAAGGTTGTCAACGCATCTGCAACCCACCGGTTTTTTGAGAAGACCATGGGCGGCGGTATTCACTTAACATCAGTTGAACCGCCTGCTCGCTTGTCAATTTTTCACATAAAAAAAATCAACAAGAAGGCACTGTAAAATCGTAACTTGGCCTCCTTTCAGAGTTTTGGAGATTCAAAGCTGAGCTTCTCATGATCTTTCAATTCCGTATTCTTACTTATTCCAATTCCATTAACATGACTACGTTCCGCAGATTGAGAAACAGGTACACTTGTAAGGTTATTATTTAAATTATTTATATTATGTGCTGGTTGTTTAGAATGGAAGGTGCAGCTGTCGAGGAGTGCATTAAATATCGCAACTAGAATCGGGGCTCTTCCTCCTTAGCTCCTGGATGCACTCTTTGGAGGCGGTGTAACCTGGCGTGTCTTGCGTCCGATACCGATTGAAAGCTTAGATGGAATAAATAAAATATTAAAAGGACATAATATAATGCTACTGCTTCTACCCAAGCGTCCATTGTGTACGCCATCTATGCACATAAAAAGTAAAGTAACAGCCTATAAATGTTCCAATGCTGGGGAAAAGCCTCCTCAGTAAAGAGGGTAACAGGGCACAGTCCACGTGGCCCCACTACGGATTGGCGAACTTCACATATCTTCGAAATATTTTTTTTTAATTATTTCGAAAATATGCAGGTTTCCTCACGATGTTTTCCTTCACCGCCGAGCACGTGATAACTCAGCACTAATAATTAACTATGTGGACTATGTCCTGATACCCTTTGTACAGAGGAGGCCTTTGCCCAGCTGTGGGACTTGTAGAGGCCGATACTTTGTTTTACTAATCAAGTGTACTCGATGGTAAATAATAAATGTTATTGTTCATCAATCATCAGTCATAATTGTGAAATCAATAATAATTTAAAAACGTTACTTATGTGGTTAAATGATAGTAATTTTTATGGCGGAAAATATTTTTTTATTAAAACTCGGTATTATATAATAAATGTCACATTTAATTATTGACAATTTGATTTTTATTAAATTTTGCTAAATTTATTTATTAATTTAAGTAAAGTTACTTTAATTGATACCGGTAATATTTCGCATGCTATTTATAAATGATTATTTTTTATTTATTGAAAAGGTGTAAAAGGGTTACAAATTACAGGGGGCGGACTTAATACCTATTGGAATTCCCTATAAGTCAACCCGGAGCGTGAGGAGAAATCGTGGTAGGTGCAATAAATAAAATTGCATAATAAATTTATGTAACTTAAATAATAAGTACCTGGAGGATCGAGCTTTGCTCGGTTTTTTTTTGTAAATCGTGTATTTTGGAAATAACATTTAGATACAAATTACTGCGTAATGAAATATGCATAATATTTTTAGATCTTAGCGACCTAATAATAAGAAACTATGAAGCGGTGTTTTTCACAAAAGTAACAACTTAAAAAAAGGGGAAAAAAGAACAAAATCATCTGGATCAACAAAAAGTAAAAAATAAAGAAAGCAATGATCTGGAATCGAAAAAAAAGTTAAAAAAAAGTGTGTAAATGATCGTGACACGAACCACGGCCGTCTGTTTTGGGGCCGCCCGATTACCGACCGAGCTATTATAACATTTTTTGCGGCGAAATTTACCGTCTGAAAAGGACTCAGTAGACTATTTTTATGAATTAGTTTCACATGTAATTCAATATTAATGATTTGTAACACCTATTTAAATACCGTAATTATAGTACAAAAACGAACACTGCATCCACGACAATACAAGTCTTGTCTTTGAATCTGTTAATCAGATGAATTAAATTTGAATCAAATATCGTTTTTGATACGATTTCGATATTCAATATTTTATATCGATATGTTGAATCAAAATATATCGAAGAATATTTACGTATTATATTATATATCGGGTATGGACGGGTCTCTGGCGTACATACCCGGTGTACGTACTGTTATGTTCATACTGGGTATTTATACCTGTGCCAGTATATACGCCTCATCCCTACTCAGGAGAGACTGTTTAAACTAGGGAAACTGACAGACAACAAAATTTCAAAATTATTAATGTTATATTCTTACTTAGATTTTGTAGTCAAGAATATATCAGTGGATTAATTTAAACTCATTATTTACGTTATAATGGAGGTCGTATCATTAATAATTCGTGGTGATGAATTTAATGTCAATAAAAACTTGCTTTGCGTATACAGCGATTATTTCAGAGCAATGTTTAATGGCCATTACGTAGAAAACAAGCAAAAACAAATTGTTATAGATGTAAGGGTTTACAAATGTTATTATTTACGATGTTGTTGGACGTTCTGTACAAGTCACTATGTTTATTATTATGAATTTCAGTTTTAGTTTGAAATATTTATATGGTGTGTATTTTTCACCTTTTTTTTAGGTATTACAACCAAACATTATGCAAATTATTCTTCAATATATGAAAATTGGTTTAATTGATTTATCAGAATATTCGCTACAGACAATTGGTGAAATAGCAATGGCAGCTAATTTTCTTCAAATAACAGAATTGATCAAACAAATCAAATATATATTAGATCTACAGATAGCTGTATGTAATTGGATGTATATAATGGAGATAGCAGAAAATGTTTCATACACATCATTAGAACAAACATCTGCTGCATATGGTTTACTCTCATTTAAGTCTATGAAGGTTGAGTATGTCCCTACATTACGAAAATTGTTTTGGTACCTTTCACATCCATATTTAAACACGGACAATGAGTTATCTATTTTTAAATTTGGCCTGGATTGGATTTTACATAATGAAACTGGTGCAGATGCTTTAATGGTAGTTCTGGGTGGCCTAGACATAACAAGATTATCTTTGGAAAGTCTAATTGAAATTAAGTCGTTAATTAAAGATTATGTTAACAGTCTAGCTGCAAAAGTAATAAATTGTTTATATTATTTACTTAAAAATGGTTACACATTGTCCCCGACAGTTTTGTCACAGGAAAAGAAAGAGTTGTGTGAAAAGTTCACCATAAGAGTTTATAATGAAACTATGAACTTAGTTAAGGAAAGTAAGCAACGTAGATTGCAATTTTCATTGTTAGTTCCAATGATATCCAAAGAATCATTTCAAGATGAATCGACTCACTATATGTATATATATGTACCAAATGAAGGATTTAAGAAATGGTTGAAATTAGCTGAAAATGATATATGGGGATGGAATGTGGTAACATGGAATGCGACAAAGCTAGTTGTTGTAGGTGGTGAGCGTGGTAAAGGTACAGGAATGTTTATAAAAGATGTGAAAGTGTATGATGCACTAAAAAAAGAGTGGATTCAGCATGGTGTTCAGCTGCCATCACGGAGACATGGAAGTGTTGCAGTGGTGGGTGATTTGTTATACATTATTGGAGGCGTAGGTGGGTTTAGGTCAGTTATATTATTTAATATATAAACTGGATTCCCATATTTTTCGGAATTAATCAATTTATGAAAATTCTTCATGTGATGCATTTCATTAACTGGATGGTTAAAGAAATGTATATTCCCTTCTCAAACTAATATTCCAAAATAATTTTTCCAATAATTTTTATATTATAGATTTTTAACTGATCATAAACTTATTTTTCTTATAATAAATAGTGCTTGCAGTATGCTCTAATAGTTGCAAAATGTTTTGTGCTTATATTTTCAGGGTAATATTGGATACAGCAATAGTATACAACTTAAAAGAAAGGACCTTTAGGAAAATCGCAAGACTTCCAGATGCAATTCAAAATCCTGCCGTTTGCTGTCATGAAAATCAAATTTACATGGCGGGTCACAAGAGCATATACAGATATGAAGAATCAGAAAATTCTGAACAGTGGAAACCAGTTGCTAGAGTTGATATCAGAGTCACCTGTATGATATCACATAAAGAATATATTTACTGTACTCAAAGTTATTTCACTGAACTGTACAGATTTAAGCCAAATGTTGACTCGGAATTAAAGTTGATGATATGTTTTACAAATCTACCCTCTGGAATGTGTAATTTAGGTATGAATAATTATTTTATATAATGATTGCAACTTGGCCATTATATTGATGTGATTTTACTTTGAGCTGTGAGAATATCATTTCTCAGAACCCTTTTTGGCAATATTTTCGTGGCATGGGATATTGGGGCTTTGTCGCATAGCTTCTGGGCGCGTTACCCCTAAAACGCAGGTTCGAATCCAGCAAGGTTGAAAAATTTTTTTTAACGATTTTCAACAAAAATTCACACTTAATTGTCATCTTGACTGCAGAAATTAGTATTTAAAAATTAAATGAATCATAAATTTCAATAGCAAAAGCGACATCTCTCGTTCAAATTTTCATTGTAAAAATGTTGTCATGCTGCAAAGTATGATGGCAAGCATTTTAAAAAAAAAAGTAAATAGATGTCGGGATTTTTTGCGACAAAAGGGTGTCGTTCACTTAGCTTAGTTGGTTTCGAGACCTTTGTTGAAAATTGTATTTTTTACAGGTGGTCAACTTATAGCTTTGACTGAAAATAGTAAAGTATTCAAACAAACTAATATCTTGTCATTGGAAGAATATGACGACACAGAAGGCAAGTTAAGAACTTTATGGACGGAAATGGACACCCCCATGAGGGTAAATGAACCTGCTGGTTGCTGTTTGATGATGATTAGTCTGCCTCCTTTAGAAAAATCTTTGTCACAATACCACAAGCATTATTTAATGAGATACCCTGAGGATGTCTAAATAATAAAACATGTACAAGATGTATTATAATATAAAGACTGTTGTGTGTATTATTTCCTTAATATTTTTTCATCACATCCATAAATAGTTTTATGGATGTGATGAAATTATAGTATATTAATAGTGTTATGTACCCCTCCTAAATATGCCTACTAATATTAAAAATAAACATCATTGATGTTCGTTGGTAATATGTTAACCACATAAGAATCCTATTTATCCCAACCATTGTTGTTTAATAACTTCATCCAGAGGGCGAAACATCCATACATGTAATAAAAATGTAACTGATCCTTGTCTGTAGTGCATGGAATATTTGAGAAAAACTATTATTCTTTCATCAACGTAATAGGAGACAAAGCGTGCGAAAAGCTAGTTACTAATATAACCCTTGAAGCTATTTTGCGCTCTTTAATGCTATATGTTTATAAGACTCCGATTAATTCATGGACAACTTTGCAATCAGTTGACTGGACAGAGAAAATGATGTTACACTGAAACTCCACCATTATGAGTTTAATTTCTCAGTTCACTAACCTTATGATAATAAATAATATACTTCACAGTTTGTTATTAATTTACATTTATTTCGACATTCATTTACAAACATATAAAGATTATTAGAGTGCACATACATTTTGTACAATAATTTTATAATAATATAAGGCGAAAATTTGTTAATACTTATAATAACTACACAATTACATTTTACTGTGATAGCATTTTATGCGATTTTTATGAGACTAGTAAGTAAACTACTATAATAAAAATCTTTGAATTTAAGGTTATATAATTATGTGTTGAAATAAAATAACTAGATAAATCCAGATATATAAGTATTTATTCAACACTGGCGTACCACAGCTTAATATAAAACTTATTTACAGTGTACAAAATTTTAGACCATGTGTTATATATAAGGCCACATTATTTTATATTCTTTAAATAGCACCGCAGTGAACCTGAAAGTCTTGGGTGTATATATAAAAATAAGTTTTTTTGCGCTGCTGACAGCATTATTGAAAAAAAATAAAAGTCCAGTAAGTTAGGTTTGTCTCTGTTTTATGGTACGGTTTTCAATTCTGACTAAATTGTCAAAAACTGAAGTGTTAACATTATATTATTTCGATAAATACTAATATATTATCCACAGTAAAGTATTAATAGCATACATTAACCTTAAATAGCTTAGGACAAAATTATGATTAATATTATTCTATTAAAAAGCTCATCTCCATTGCATCGTCTAAATTGACTCTTCAATAAGGCGTTTGTCATAAGCATTTAGGTGTTAAATTTTGTGTAGCATTTTGTTTTTTTGGCATGTACAAGTGTCAAAGAGAGAAGTAAAAAATATTGGAAGCTCTATTTAGATCTATTATATAACGAAAATATTTAATGCTATTTTAATATAAAAATACGCATTCTCATACCATAATGTAAATAATACATTACCCATAAAGTGAGTTTTGCTCAATATAGAAGTATTGAGTAAAACTTTTACTTTTAAATTTTTAAGAATTAATATTTTATTTTAGAAAACGATTAACACAGTTTATAGAATAAGTTAATATATTTTTTTTAATTTGGGTAATGTTTAAGGGACGATAAAGTATAATTTATTTATGGGGGATGTTTTTCATATCTAATACAATGAATACTTTATTTTACGTCCATCCACCAGTAAGTTTATGGAACAATTCTTCGTCGAGCGTCTGGTTTGCGTCTTTTGATCTCATGGACAGAAAGATGTATCCTCCGATGAATTCATGGACTACTTTACAATCTGCCGACTGAACAGAGAAAATGATGTTGCCCTCCTCAAACTGTACCATCATGTGTTTAATTTCCCAGTTCACGTTCCAAGCCTGAAAACATTAAAACATATAAAATATCAATTATTTATATTGAATGTAGGTAAGATGTAGATGTATGACCTTGTTCGCACAAGAGCAGCGGGCTTTGTTCCAAGATGGCACTTTCCCACTTCACCTACATGTATTAACATTTGCATACATTCATTTCATTTTTTAAACTATATAGTATATACTCACTATATAAAAAATAAAATGATCTGCTCAGTTTCTAATACAAGCATAAAACATTACATCATTTTAGGACATTATTGCAAAGTTGTAACACATATAAAAAGTTTACTTATTTATATATTTGCAATACTACTATAATTATTTAGGTTACCGTCATATCACATTGGCATCTGACTGAACCCCACATTTACATCCTCTATATGGACATACAAGTGACAGGAACTAGTAACCAATAGAGACTGGTTAAATTATACCCATGCAAAGCAGAGGCTAGGTACAATTCTATTTAAACAGACAATTCCTTGCTATTGATTATATTATAGATATTGTTAGTAATACAAATAACTTTCCCGTAGCGTGTCGTTAAAAGGTCCGCGAAAACGTAATTCGTTCTTTGTTATGTTAGCAATATTTATTACCTCATAAAATTGAAACTAGCCCTTAGGAGGTTGTACTATAGAATGCCACAGACCTTCATGGTGCTGTACCGCCAGGTCTTGATGTGGTCCCCTGTGCTGGGGTCGAGACGCATGATGCGGTTGTTCGCGATACTTATGATCTCGTCCTTGCGGTGGCCCATGAATCGGACCACGAACAGGGTCTGCCCGTAGTCCGCCAGGTTCTGCCAGGTCTTTATGTACTGGAGCTTCGCTTCCAGCAGCGGGAGGTCTTTGACGTTGGCGTGGCTCTCCAGCACACGCTGTGTGAACTAAGCACGGAGTATTGGACGGGTTAATTGACACAGATCTGTAGGGGCTGTGGTTATAGGTATTGAAATTAAGACGTTGTGACTTTTTTTTAGAGAAACAAGCGATTGTTTTAGATGATAAATGACTGCTACTGTTCATAGAATGACGTCTGTCGTCATACAAAACGTCGTGGTACTTCCCTGGACGTACCTGCCCATTCGTGCAACGGCGTAAGTTGTTGCGTGGCCCTAGCACAGGTAAAAAAAAAAACGATATTTTTCGATTTTTTGTTCGGTTATTGGTTTATATTAAAGGTATTTAAATTTTTATAGTTCTAATCTGTGCTCTTAAGATTAAATATTAAAAATATGTAGATAAAGTACGTATTGCTTCGAATGCTAAAAAACAATGTGGATAAAAGAAGTTAAGATTTCCTTAGTGAGATTTCCTAGGACGCGAATCTCGCAGACGTGGGTTCGATTACCGCAGCGGCAAAAAGCTTCTCGTACTTTCTTCTACATATTTTAATCATACTATAGGTTCTAGGAGCAATATCGATATGTTTTTTAAATGTTACATCGACTATGGGCCTATGGGCCTCATAAGCTCGCGGTCGCACAGCGCGCTATGGAAAGGGTAATGCTTGGGGTTTGTCTACGAGATCTAATCAGAAATGAGGAGATCCGTAGAAGAACTAGAGTCACCGACATAGTAAAGCGAGTCAGCAGACTGAAGCGGGCAGGGAAAATAGCTCGAAAAACCGATCGCCGCTGGGGCAAAAGGTTCTCGAGTGGAGACCACGTGACGGCAAGCGCAGCGTAGGAAGGCCTCCCACGAGGTGGACGGACGACCTAGCCGAGATCGCAGGGGCGCGGTGGGTGCATGCCGCTAACGACCGGTCGAAGTGGAAGTCAACGGGGGAGGCCTATGTTCAGCAGTGGACGTCCTACGGCCGATATGATGATGGTGCCCCCGGCGCGGGGCCGTTGCGGGCCAAAGCGCCCTTGGCGTCGCACCTTGCCCTTGAGCTTCTTGAGGAAGCGCGGCGCGAGGAAGTTCTCCGGCTGCAGGTGCTCGAGGTGCGGCACGCTGTGCTGGTGCAGCGCGGCGGCCGGCTGCGGCCGCTGCAGCCGCAGCAGGCTGCGCACCGCGCCCGCCTCGCTCGCGAACGCCGCGTCCGCCAAAGAGCGCCCGCGCGCCCCCAGCCGGCACGCGGCCACCCACTTCGCGTACTGCTCCTCCTGCGACGGGCCGTCGCTTGCTTTGGTTTTTTTTTTTAATTTCAACCCGTTCTATATTGAACGTGTCGAAACACTTTTCTAACAGACACTGTACAGTGTACGTTAGTCGGCAAGCGGCCAAGAGTTCGTCGCTTTTTTATTTCTTTTTATCGAAGTGAAACCTCTAATGCAACTTCCAACGAGGTTGCGGTAAACGTTTAACGCAACCATGGAGGGGTTATGAAAGCACTGTTGCGTTAAACGTTCAACGCTCCTGGTGAGGGCGAATAGAAAGAGACAGAGCGAGAGTGAATGCGTGGCACTCGAAGTATCACTTCTTCCGCGCACTTTTTTCATTTCATTTTAGATCTTTCAAAATTGAACGCGTAGAACCGACGGGCACTGTGGTCGTCAGTCGATACGCGGCCACGCACTTCGTGTACTACTCCTACTGGCGGCGTGCCGCGTTACTGAGCTCGCGCAATATATGCAGTGTCTGAAGCTATGCGCAATGTATCCCCAATGTGTGTGGAGTCCTTCGTTTTCCCTTCAAGGTCGTTCAAAATTGAACGCGAAACACTTTTCTGTTAAACACCGTGGACGTTGAGCAAGCACGTGGCCACCCACTTCGCTGCTCTTCCTGCACCGGCGAGTGCCCCCCGCCTTGGTGAGGTGACCCCAATGTGTGTAAAGTCCTACGTTTTCCGTTCGAGGTCGTACAAAATTGAAAGTGTGAAATACGTATTGCTTATTAATAACGTTGTACAATTGATAGTGAGCGTTACTGGCAAACGTCGACTATTAGATCTATATATATTAGATGATTACTGGACGGCCCCTGTTCCGTCTCTCGCTTCTTACAACACCCATAGGAAGACCATGCGTGGTTGTAGATATTCTATGGCCACCACTATATAAAATACCGCAGGCTATTTAGTTGTTTTCCTTTCAATCGTTAATATTGAATGATACAAATTGTAATTGTGATTTGGTCTATATACCTTACCCTTACAAAGTAATTACGGAATTCCATATACTTTAAGTAACCGAATAAAATAATTTTTATTACGGTTTTGACTTAGTTGTGTCACGTGAGGATTTACAGGTATAAATTAGGTATAAGGCACTGTTTTTCGTTTGATGCTGGACGGAACTAGATTTTTTTTAATTCATATGCCTAATTCTGGTTTATGTGTTAAAGGCTTATCATACGTTTAGTGATTATTTAAATAATAACACCCTGGAAATTAAGTGACCGCTTCAGGCTCTTTCAAGTTGACTTCAATACATTTGCATAAATGTCTTTTTTTTTATGGTAAAAAGTAAGTCCCGCTGAGTTTCTTTCGCCGGTTCTTCACAGGTCAGTGGCCTTTCTTTCCGAACCGGTGGTAGCGTCTTATATTGAATAAACGTATTTGATTTGAGTTGCTTACGTCATCACATTTCAGCCACATCTCGTGCATTGCATCCTCGGCCGGCACTTCCAGTTTGATGCTGTATCTTCCGGAAGCCGGATGTGCGTCCGGGGTAACCTTGAAACGAAAATATTGAACGAATAAAAAACCACGCCCTTGCGTCGAAACAATAATTTACTATCGTCAGACGTATGGGAGCAATAAGGGAGCATATTTTTGTCAATACAACAACCTAGTGGGGTGGAGAGATGTGCTCTTAGCACCTTTAATCAAACACAAAATGTTGGCTCATAAGACATAAATTTGACTTTAGAAAACAAGGGTGTTAAAAAAAAACAGAGATTGTCTTATGGCTTATGAATGTTTATGATGATAAATTAAGTAGCTGCGGAGAGCACATTAATGTCATACTGAGAGTAGGTGGCTTAAAAAGCGTTACAAACTTGCATTTGTGCGTTAGTGATGCTTTTTACACCGTACGTCTTTGGATGCCAGATGTGAGAATATATTAATAATTGATATTATAATTGTGATAATATTATTAAATATACGGGGTGGCTTTTCTGAGTGTATCCATTTTTTTAAATTACATTCTAGACATAAATAATGTAATATAAAAAATGATAAATATTTAAAATCACTTCTAAGTAATTAATTTGAAATTATCACAAAAAGTGCGTGATTTATACGCAACTCGTTTATTTTAGAAGAAGAAGAAAAAGAAGAAGAAACGTTTATTCAAGGTCTAAAATGAATACATACAAAACTTAAAAATAATAATGTAACTACACAGAAACTTAAAATAAATGTAAACATAAAAATAAGCAAACAACAACATGTGACGGTATGTGTAGCAGCATAAGACCGTGAAAAGGACGGGACTCGGTAATAGTCGAGATACAGTAACTAGTTCTGATCCCGGCACCGGTTTTCAGTCCGGCCCGCACTTCGAGGCAACTCGGATGGCTGCGACAGTGACCTTGCAAAAAATAGCTACAGCGCAGTATAGCGAAAATTAAATTGTTTTTTGTTTGAATCTTTCATTGATATAGACAGTGGTTGGCATTCGTCTGATGAGGTAAGTAAAAATTAAAACTAATGTTTGTTTTTTAATATTGGTGTCAGATAGTATTTTTCAATTTCTGTTTTAGGTTACCAATGTTTTTGTGGTATTATCTACTCTGTGGTACTATGACACTTAACGATTAAGTGGTGGAAACGTGTAATAATTTCAAACATCAAATGCGAGACGAACCTCGTTGCGCATTGGCCACGTGATATGGGTAAGAAAGTGATTGACTTAAAAATAAATTTATGATACAGGTATAGACAATTATAAGGTATATATTATATTTTCTTGAATTATATTATATTATCTCATATCAAATTACATTATCTTATATTACATCGTATTATTAATCTTTAGGCAGAATTTTTTTGCTCTACAAGCAGATACAATCTGTACTTGTTTTTAAATCCACTTATTGTTTTCAGGTCACGCAAGGAAAGCGGGAGGTTGTTCCATCACTTAGTGGCATTGTATTTGAAACTGCCTCTAAAAGCGGCCGAACGGTAGAAAGGATAGACTAATTTATAATTAGATGATCTTGTATTATACATCTCATTTTGATCTTTAGCCCAAATCAACTTATTGTAAAGATATCACGGCTCTTTGTTTTTAATAGTCCCAAATAAAAGTGAGGCGAAGGATATTTGCGTTGTTTATGAAAGGCTTTACATGTGCATGCACGAGGCGGTATATTAAAACAGAAGCGTGCACAGGCGTTTTGTACTCTTTGTATTATTTGCCTTGTTCGTGATAAGAGACGTGGGCCTAAGAGAGAATCTGCGTAATTGAATTTTGAAAGCACGAGAGATTCGCACAGATTGATACGTAAGGGAACACTTAGATAATCACGAATACGTTACGTGCAATACCCATAATATGGTTCTCAAAACGCCAAATTTCTGAATTCCGCCACTCTTACAATGGATTCGTTGTTAACGGTAATGGCAGGGTGACTTTGTATGATCTTATTTATTTGATTTGGCGATCCTAGAATCATATACTACTTTTACGCGCGATCATTCATAAATAACACGCACACAAGTACGTGCTCAGTAAAATTTAGGTATTTATGAATGACTACCGCATTGTCAACACTTTCTGTTCTTTAGGAAATAGAATGGCATTTTTTTTTAAAAACTTTCTTTTTTATTTCAATAAACGATTATACTACCGAGTCTGAACCTCCTGTGAATTTTGACACTTCTCAAAAAATCTCGCTGTATTAATAATATTATGACGCATAATTATATCATCACGTTTTCATAAAGTCCTCGTCTGTGTGCTAATTCTAAATAGAGCCAAACAACTTGAAAACCTCATATCTTAAATTCCCGCCTCTCTGTCAGATTATTTATCTATTCGGCGTATATAACAGCGTCTTGCGATTGAACAGTCAGCACACAGCTAAGAAGTGAAAGAGAGACGTGTCTATTCAGTACATACAGTCAGAGATGTGGATAATACCTTACCAGTTAGAAACGCGATAAGAAATATTTTTTTTCTATAGTACGTACCTCAGCCCCTCGGAGTTCCACGGCGTAGGAGGGCGGATCGCCGCGAGCGGCCGCATCGCTTGATGAATGTATGCGCAGCACTCCGTCGCGGCACGACACCCAGCCACGCTTGTACGCCTTCAGCGTGAAGCGCTTCGGTCTGCGGGGATGTTTAACACATTATTACACGTCTTCGGCGGTAAGCGCTTTTATCTGCGGGGAGGTTTAAAACATTGTTGTACGTATTAAGCGTGAAGCGCTTCGGTCTTCGGGGAAGTTTAAAATATTATTGTAGGTACTCAGCGGGAAGCGCTTCGATCTGCGGGGCTGTTTAACACATTATTATACGTTTTCGGCGGTAAGCGCTTCGGTCTATGGGTGTCTAAAATATTATTGTATGTATACAGCGGGAAGCGCTTCGTTCAGAGGGGAGATTAAAAACATTATCGTATGTATTAAATGTGAAGCGCTTCGACCTACGGGGAGGTTTAAAATATTATTGTACCTATTCAGCGAGAAGCGCTAAGGTCTGCTGAAGTTGAAAACATTACTGTATATATTCAGCGGGAAGCGAGAAGAGTTACGATCTGCGGAAGGAACGCATCTAGCATGAAACGCGAAAGTTTATGAAGGATATTTTTCACCTTTAGTGTACCCCGCTTCCATACGTTAGACGGTTTGTTAAAGTAGATAGTTTCGTGTTTTTCGTATACATATATAATATGTGCAAGTTCTATTACTAGGCCAGCATTAATTCGCACCTTAATCATTGAAAAGTTTTATTAAAATTTACTGGTTCTATTTTTGTTTGTTTTTTTGCGTATGCAATGAAACAAGTTTTATGTATATAATATGATAAAATTATTATTTTTGTGATGATATTGTCTCTTTCCGCAAATTGTAATTTCAATAGTTTAGGTCAATATGTAGATAAAATACAACAAAATATTGTTTGTTTTTATTTGATTAGATATAATCAAATGAACATAATTAATGCATATTAGTAATACATATACTTATTTACATCAAAGGTGATTTTTAGAAGAGAATGTGGATATGGGTTAGAAGAATTTGAAGAAAAAATAAACATGTAAAAATATTATTTTGCAATTATTATCTTTTTATATTTTCAATAATTTAAAAAAATATTATTCTAAAAGATTGTTATTGATTATAATGGTGTAGTGTTAAATTGGTGGTTTGGTAGGGCTGTTACCACAGTTTATTTACTATAAATTCTTAGTAATTATAAACTAAATCAAGTTTTTAGTTATTTTCTCCACTCTAGGACGGACAATCGGGGTAAAATCTAGACATTTCTTACGCGAAGTAACAGTTTTCCTTGTTACATCTGCTTTGATGCACGCCACGCGTAGTTCGGTTGGGTATGATGAAAAATAATAGAGCAATAAATATATTTTTAATATTAAAGCATTAGTAAACGATATTTTTCATTGTTGCACTATCAATATACGATAAATAACCAAAATCTAATACTGGAAGAAGATCGAAGATAGGCTTCTTATGATGTCACTAAGGTCGGCGGCGATTAACTAAGAAAGCTTCCTGATTATGCTGATATTATAATTTTATATGGAGGTGGTCAATGCACGAGCGTTGACGTGACTTTTCCCCATAACACCTCGTCCGCAAACAAACGTACGCTTTGAGGTACCTGTGATGTGGGAGTGGACAAACTGGGTCTAAGATCAGCTGTTGAGGACTACAGACGATGCGAGACGTCACCCGAGGTGATTGTCGCGATCCGTGGATAAGTAGTTCTACGATCAATGTTGCGGACTGCAGACGATTTGTGATGTCACCTTAGACATTTTTAGTTATCAGCTATAGAAGCTGCTGACGTCATCTGAGGTATTTGTATCAGTGGACACTACGTCTACAATTAGTTGTTGTGGGCTCCGGAAGGTGTGGGATTTTTACCTATCAGTTAAAGACGCTGCGTGACGTCACCTATAAGGTACATATCGTGACCAAGGAGACACTAGGTCTACAATCGGCTGCGGACTTTGAGCGACGTCACCCGATGCATTAGGAGCTAACGGCTATAGAGGCCGCGTGACGTCACCTAAGGTATTTGTCGTGACAAATGAATACACACTAGCTAGAATTACAACCAGCTGCAGGGTGATGACGGTGTGACGTCACCCATTAGTAGTAAACGGCCGTGTGACGTCACCTGAGGTACTTGAGATGGTCGGCGAGCTCGGGCACGTGGGTGATGTCGTGGCGGGCGGGCGGGCCGCCCTCGAGCTGCTCCTGCAGCTGGCTGAGGGCGGCGTCGATCTCGTCCTCGGGGGCGGCGGCGGCGGCGGTCTGCGCGCCGTCGGCCGCCTCCACGCTGCCGCCGGCGAGGGTCTGCAGCTCGATTTGCAGCTGGCGACGGGGAACCGAGGCGGGGTCAATTTGCGAGCCGCGTCCAATCGAAGCGTTTATTCATCGCGGTAAGAGATCATCATTTCAGCCTGTTTAAACGCACTGCTGAACATAGACTGCCACGAAGTACGATCCTGAGCCACCTGCATCCGTCGACTTCCACATTTGCACAGTTCGTCACTCCATCTAGCGGGGTCGTCCTACACTGTGTAGAACGATATATAAAGATATCGTAGAACCGATAGCCGTTGGGGAAGAAAGGTTCTCGAGTGGCAGCCTCGTACTGATCATCGCAGTTTAGTAAGAGATATACATATTAATATAAGTATGTTTACGGATTTTATCGCTTTTTAACTTTGGATTGTAGCTTGATTTGTAATTACCGACGTTTCGAACCCTTTCCAGCGTTCTTGGTCACGGGACAGACTAACGCCCTGTTTCTGAAACACTGATCATCGTTGATGTCAACTAATCAGCTGTCAAATGGCTTTTCAAATTTCATTTTACTTGCCAAAAGGATGGTTAAACTGTCTGAATTGACCAGAATTATTTTCATTAAGAACATAATTGAGCGCACATAAGTTAGATAAACCCTTTTTTTGTTTGCCACTAAGAACTCCACCGTTTGGAAACACTTCGAGAATTCTTTTCGCATCGGGTTTGGTGTAGTTCCCATGTGGTCGCATGTATGTAACTTTTAGACATTGGAATTCGGAGATAAAATCCAATAGCAAAATATGTAGTAGCACATGTAGTAGTACCTGTAGTGCGGCGAACAGGAGCATTTCCTCCTCAGTGCAATGCACCTCCTGGTTCAGGATCTGCCAGCGCGCCTGCTGGTACAGCTGGTTGAGCCTGGGCGCGTCGTGCGCTCGTGCGGTCAGGTCGAAGAACGAGTAGAATTTGAAGCGCAGCTGAAGGGTGTCCCATTCTCGGACGTACTGTTCCATGATGGAGAGCGACGAATCCAACCATCTAGAGGAGTCGGGTTTTTTTTATGTGAGAAAGTGGCAAACGAGCTGGCGGTTCACCTGATGTTAAGTGATAACCATCACCCATGGACATTTGCGACACCAGTAGGGTTGCGAATGCGTTGCCACCTATAAATAAAGTGGGTCCCGGCTGCCTTACTCACCAGACGAAACGCAGAAGTGTAACACTTCCACTTCACGCCGGTCTTCTGTGAGGTCGTAGTACTTACCCGGACGGACCTGCCCATTCGTGCAACAGTGGACACTGTTGCGTGGTCCTACCATAGGGAATAGAGTTGCTGTTTGTATTCTTTGGAAGGTTTCGCATCTGGGTGTTTGTCCAAGTGAAATTTATGTTTGTAAAGGGCCCTTACAACACAGGATAATGTTATCCTTAAATAAAAGGGTACATTTAAAAAAAAAGGGTGTTTGGTAGTAAACCCCAACGACCACTGCGACAAAGAAGATCTATTGTAGACTTATCTTCAAAAACCCCATTACTGTAGGATAGATAGTAATTAATGTTTCACTCTACTAGTTTTTTCTGGGAGTAAAACACACAGATTATTCGTTTTAGTCCACTTTTCTCTATTCTTTTTTCTTGATTCTAAAGGGTTTTTTTTTACATAAATATCGCGTGCTAGACTATTCCCGACTGATTATGACTGTGGCTTCAATGCAATAGCAAGAGATGTAAGTTCATTTTCTTTCACTTAATTGGTGATCTGCTTTGTTTATCTATTGATTTTAATATAACAAAATTTAAATTTTAAAATACATATTTCAATGAAAATATACATTACATAAAAATGTAGCTTGCGTATGTTTGACTCCACAAAATTTAAAAACTAGCTAATGGATCGGAACAGGAGAGTGTTTTATACGACTTTTCATTGCGAAGTTCCAACATAAACGAAAAAAATGCACAGCTAAGCGTGGTCGGTTATTAGTACATTGTAAATCTACAAAGATCCGGAACACCAGACTTACCCTACGTTCATTCTGGCGCGTTCCATCAGAGACTTGGGGGTGAGTAGAGATTCCCTGGATTGCGAGTCCGGTTCTAAAGGAGAGTCGGCGAGCGACAGTTCACCCAAGGCGTCAAGTGCGTCAAGAGAGGAGGCACGAGGCGGGGTCCCGCAGTAACCCCCGTCACTTGACCCGTCGCTCTGGGTGCTATAGATATGACCACCGTAGCGACGGATTGTGCCATTCTAGAATCGGCAAACGGAAAATGTTTTAAAGTTATTATTACATGGTACAATCGCGCTGAAAAGTGCAGAATGGCCCCAGATTATAACCAAAATTCACTGGATATCTCAAGTATAGATATCATCCTGATATCGCCCTGTATATTTTCATTAGTAAGATGCTGTTTTATGCACTGTATATTAATGTGAAATAGTTAATATTCTAGCTACTTTTGAGCATAGGTAAGGTTTTGTAAGAGATTTTAAAAGTACTCGTATTTCTAGCAAAATTTTATAAAATTACTGCGTAATAGTAGAAAAACAAATGCAAAGGACTTACGTGATTTGACGCAACCGGCGTAGCAGATAGTGACCTCGGCGGTGGTGGCGTGGCTGGGCAGGGTCCGTTGGACCTGTCGAGACTGTTTGACGAGCCTCTTGTTGCTGCTATGAAGGTATTTGTGTCCGGCGGCTGTGAGGACTTTATTCTCTTTGCCTCCTTCAAGTTCTGATAGTTCTGCTTTAGATGCGAAGGCTCAAGAGGATAGTACAGCGATAATTCCTCCGGGTGTCGTATGCCTGAAAAATTGGTGTATTCGTGAACATCAAAAATCTTATATAGAATATGAAAAGCTCAACGGTAACTCTCTCAATTTGCAGACTTTTGACCCTGCTAGTTTCATTTTAATTCTAATTAAATACTAATGAAATGGCATGAAATGATAAGCATTTTGAAAAAACGAAACGGTTTTTTGTCAAAAGTTGGCAAGCGAGCTTCAAGTTGGTGTTCTATGTGGCCGTAGTACTTCCCCGGATGGTCCATTCGTGCAACAACAGAAGCTCTTAGTTTTTAAGACTAAGTTAACTAAAATGAAATACTATTCATTTGCCTGACTCATAAAACTATTACGAAGAAATGTCAAGAAAGAGCCTTCGAGAAGGAAAATCGTGACAAAACATCGCTTTAATGATAAATATTAAAACCTCCACCACTAACCGAGGTTCTTGCACAACTGCACGACAGCGCTGAAGGTGTCTATGGAGAAGTCGATCTTGCAGTCGATGTATCTCAGGTCGGGGAGCTGGATCCGCAGCGGCTTGTGCATCGGCGTGAAGTGGAGGGCGGCGTCGGCGTGCACGCCGTACTGGTCGAGGGTGTGCTTGGGACGGGAGAGCCATTTGTTGCGCGTGGGCCACCACAGGGCGTGGTCGGACCAGTCCTTTTTGAATTCTGCAACAATAGCGGTACAATCATATACAGTACTGATATCTACCTAAAGAGCATACATCTGATTTTATTTTTGTTTAAATAGAAAATACAATCACAAAAGCTAGTTATGGTGAGGCCCTAGAAATAGTGCTTAGGCTAAGACTGGCATAACAGATTTTTTTTACTGATTGCCGTTGAACCATAGCCGTTGCTTGAGTTGGCACTAATACTATTTTACTGGTGTTTCAAATGGTATAAAATAAGAATACGTTTGATCGTGGAGTTTCCAGTAGGTCATGTCTGAGTTACCGCTTAGCCTATTGGCGGGTTTTCAAACCATTAATAAATACTTGGCTAATATAACTTGATACATAAACATCGTCTTCCGTCACATAACAATGACGGGTTAGGATGTTAAGATGACCAGTGGTGTCAAGTATTGCCATTAATTTATTTGAAATGTAAGCTGGCTGTGATATGGTGTACGAAATTAGATTAAAGGGGCAAACGTAATCATTTATTACAGACATCAACAGAGCAATTAGAAATATAATGTGTTTGGTCGATTTTAATTCAAATTCGAAATATCTTTGTTCACATAGATGCTTGCGCGTTCTTATGAAACGTCATTATTTTATATAATTTATACGTTCGTAAGTAAGTTACCAACGGTTCGGAAAGCAGTTTCTGTTGAGAAGAAACCGGCAAGACACTCAACAGTTGCTCTTTTTTATAAAGATTCGAAGATTTGAATATCTTCTAAGCACTCTGTTGACTATCGTTTCCTCAAAAGTACATAGAAGGTGTAATTTTTGTTTTTATACCGCAGTATAGGGGATTTTTTTCGATGTCAAATAAAGTAAGATATGTGTGTTCAATTGTTAATCTTGTAATGTTAAAATCATGCAGACATCAGTTTTGTTCTCATACACGGAGTGGTACAAATTGTATTTAGGTGCGCCTTATCTGGCTGGAAGAAAAAGAAACAAAAAACCGTCATCCGGTCCGATTTCCGTTACAAAAAACGACAAAAACTTAAGAGCAAAATAAAACATCGACGAGGGAGCAGCCGCGACATCGCGGTGTTTTAAAAAACTCGGTATAAATCGATTTTAGTACAATTTGATGACGTGAGAATAATAGAAGCATTAAACAAAAAAAAAACTATGTACGTTTATGATGTAACTTACTTTTTAATTATAATTAAATACTTGATCCATCCAAATCCATTTTCGACATTACCGTCACCAAATATTAATATAATCTTATATAACTCGACCTACTTCGCTAGCTTTCATTTAAACAAAATAGATGGCATTAACATACATTCTTTACAGGAAATTTGTGAAAACATTGACTTTATTATACATATCTATGTCAATTGTAAACAGTGTAGCAAACATAAGCTTTAAACTGGTTTTTAAACCATTCGATTTGATAAAAAAATTAGGTAGTGATAATTTATAGAGATTGAATTAAGACGGTATTAAACGGGAATTCATTTCTCTTTCGAGGCATGAGTCAGACAAGCCGGTCGGCGGGCGATGCCAGCCAGACTAAAGAATTATACCATCTAATTATTTAGTTGGTCTGACTCATGAGCTCATTGCTCTTATAATCTACATACGTTATCGATGACGCCAGTGGCTGTTACTGGGTACGAGCGTGGTATTCGTGCCGGAGTCGATTTTATATTTATTGTTTACTAATACTGTCATATGATACGCTGCGTAGGCTAAAATAGACAACTGCGCGATATGTACATTGAAATGTTGACTCAGTGGTGAGTTTTCCAGTTTAGACGAGATCTTCGTTAATTCATGTGCCATCTTTTTTATATGACAATGTGGTAAATTAAGCGAGCAGGTAGTTCACTTGAGGTTAAGTGGTCACCGCCCATGGGCATCATCTTTGAATGTATCTAATGTAATGTAAGGTTGCCAATGGTTATCTCTGTCACCAAACGATTTGCAAAAGTATAATACTTCCATTTTACGCCGGTCTACTATTAAGCCGTGGTACTTCCTTGCAAGAACCTGCCCATTCTTACAACAATAGAAGCTGCCGAGTGGCCCCGCCACAATATTTTTATAAGATCTTTTTATTATTAAGAATTGGACAATCTTTGCGAAGCCACTGATGATAACCCGTTGTGAAGCAAATAGGTGTTATTCAACCGCAGTCTTGTGGTAATAATGACAAAAAACTGATTACAATGTTGTCCAACCAATTTTGTGAGAAAAGAAAAATACCATTTCTTTGAACAATTGAACTAATGACATCAATCAAGGCAGTTAATTAATGTAAATACTTTTAAATGCAGTCATTATCAATCTATGTAAATAAAAAAAAATATCATCAATCTATATAAATAAAAAAAAAAAATACAACGTTATTCAAATAGAGGAGACACATATTTTAGGTTAGGAAAGTTTGCTTATTTGTTTGTAAGCTACGCCTATAATGCAGTTAAGACAATGCCCACACCCGCACCGCCGGTCTAAATAAATATAGTCATTATTAATAATAATAAATAATATAATAAAATATCTTTATTCACATAGACGCTTGCGCGTTCTTATGAAACGTCAAAATTTTACAAGAAATTAACACGTTCGTAAGTTACCACCGGTTCGGAAAGCAGTTTCTGTTGACAAGAAACCGGAAAGAAACTCAACAGTTGCTCTTTTTAAAAAAATCAGTTTACAATATAATAGTACAGGTACAAAAGTCTTATTTTAGCCTACGTGAGTATCAACAGTATTAACCCCACACATTGGCGTCGTCAAGATAATAGTATAATAGGCTTTAGCCATAAGTGTACTTTTAATTTTTCGTTTAAATTCATCAAGTGGCAGACTTAACATATTATTCAAAGTGGCAGTAAACATTGTAATCGCTTAGCGTTGTGACAGTTCACGCGCTTTACGACGATGTGACGGCCACCAGAGTCGAGGCGAACTTTTAAATTCTTCACCCCCACAAACTTGCATCGCGACATTTAACGACCGATTTTTATAGCCGACGGCTTATTCTGAAAAGCAAGGAACGACAAAGGTTTTGAAGTTTCGTCTAAATGCCACTCCGGGACGTTCGACCGACCTGTCTTATAGTATCGGAGTGGCTTAATAAAACGATATAAGTTTAAATTTGTTTTTGTACTTCTCACATTTTTAAACATATGTTCTTCTCACATTTTTAAACATATGTTTACTTTATTAAAAATATAAAAGCCGTGATAGCTCAGTGTTTTGTGTTTGTTTTTGTCCTTCTCACATTTTTAAACATATGTTTACTTTATTAAAAATATAAAAGCCGTGATAGCTCAGTGTCCGGGCGCTCGCCTTTAATTTAATATACTCGAGCAACCTGTAATTGATGATGTAATTGTTAATTTAAGTAGTAAGTGCCGAATTATCACGTGCTCAGCGGTGAAGGAAAACATCGTGAGGAAACCTGCATGTTTTCGAAATAATAACAAAAAAATATTTCGAAGATATGTGAAGTCCGCCAATCCGCAGTGGGGTCGCGTGGTGGTCTATGCTCTTACACCCTCTGTACAGAGAGAAGTCTTTGCCCAGCAGTGGGACATGTATAGGCTGATATTTTTTTTTACTTTATTAAAGAGCTACTGTTTTTGACCATGTTGTATTTATCCTTGTTCTCTTCATATAGTATGAGCAATAGGGCGAAAATCGACGCGGTACTCGAATTCGGAGCGACGTCTGCTGTTTATCGTTTTTTAGAGTTGGTGTACAGGACCCGTATAGAGAAATGTTTAGAATAAAAACCCGTATAGAACGCTTTTACTATTTTTACGATCGAATATTTCGTCGGGAGAAAAAAAATGCGGAGGCTGTAAATTTCGACGTCTCTGAATTACGACTCGTAGATTACCGATTTGAATACAATATACATGGTAAAAAGATATATTTCTACATGTTTAATGTGGATACCATATGTACTGTAATAAACTCTAAAGAAATATACTGGCCACTTCATAATTGAAAAGTGTTTAACGAGAACACATGGTTTGACATAATGGTAGGCGTAATATGAATGTTAAGATTACATTTCTATCCAAATTATGAAACATATAGAAATAAGCAAGTAGTAGATAACTGAAGGGCTTCCGTTATCAGTATAGATTCTAATGATAATGATCGGTACACTCAGATCTGAAGCAAATCTAAGCAGAGCTATAAAAGATATTTAAAAGAAGCCGAACCGATTGATTGTGAAGGTTATTAAAGGTTTTAATTTTTTTTAAACTAATTATTAACCACGATATGTCTATTTTAACATGATAATTACGAATATCCTCTCAACTCGTAAACTTTAATTCCAAACGAAACTATTCTAAGATTAATAGACAACTAATTGATATAAAAATATATTAATGTATGTTTCCATTAGCCTCTCTTCACGAAGACTGCGTTTTTTCAATGTGAAAAGGTAGTAAACGAGCTGGCGGTTCACTCGATGCAATGTGATATCCGCCGCCGTAGACATTTGCAATAACCGTAGAGCTGTAGGTTCCACTTTATTAAAAGGTGACAACGTATTTTTTAATAAAGTGAAGATGAAAATAGTAACAATATACTCAAAATAAAGATTTTATTTATCCTACGCCTACATATATATATATAACACTTCCACATCACGACGGTCTTCTGTGAGGTCGTGGTACCTACCCGGCCGGACATGCCCATTCGTGCAACAGCGGAGGCTGATGCGTGGCCCTACCACAGTAGGGTGTATAAAGATTTCGATCACAGCACATCTCACGTGTAAATAAATCTGAGCAAAAACATTGTAACAAACTTGTATTTTTATTCAAGCTGGATGAAGCTTCAACGGCGTGGTGGCGAAATTCATGACGTGTATTCTCGATAACACGTCAATCATTCATGCCCCGCTTCGATTGCTTTATGGCCGTGATCGCTTTAAACGAATACAAAGCGTCTCGTGGCTTTGCATTCGTTAAGAGCAACGGACGCAATCAAATGGCCGCCGATGGTTCCCGATCATAAATGAAAGGACCATTGGCATCTTCGGTCTCTTTTGTCTTTACGCAGTTTTATTCCATTGTAATGTTTCAGTGCTCTATATTCATCAAAAGCTTACTTCTGTTAGTAAATGAGTGTTATATTTCTCGTTAAGCCTATAAAAATATACATTTGTGGGTAATTGCAAACTGTTAGTAGTTAAATTCCAATACTTTTTGCTTAGTAACTTATACTTACAATTTTAGATAATATGCGCCGTAACGAATATTTCGATATTTTTCTGCTGTTTATGATAACAGCTTTTCTGGTTTTCACCAGATAAAATGCAAAGTAGATTACGCTGTATTATTTGTTTTCGAACCACGAGTCAATGCAAAAAGGTCCGATGTGCATTTTAAGTACAATAATACAAATAATCTGTGCCTCCGGAGTAACCAATGGTACCTTGAAGCGGCTAAGTTATAGCCAGAGTTAGTCACTTCCAACGTCGTCTAGCAAACACGCGTTCAAAAATGGCCGTTCGTCCGCATCCTAACAATGCACATAGATAGTCGCGACAACTTCGCGGCGCCGGCGGCCATATTAGTAGAGCGCAGCACAGCGCTCTGGCTATTCCGTTCGAGATCCACCTACTACTACTGGCTGCTTACTATCAGCTGGGATATTAGGCAAGTACTGGCCAGTTTGCGCTAAATAATAACGTGCGACCTTGAAAAGAAAAACAAAATGTTTATTTTTAAAAAACTAATGTCGCTTCGAATATTTTCAGCTATAGCCGCGGTTCTAGATGATAAACAAGTAAACAAATAACATATACAAAATAGTGAAGACAGAAATGTGTCGAGTCGTTCTCCGCGAAAGATAAAGTTTTCTTTTGGACGTTTGGATTAAACAAAAAGGATTTCTTTTTCCGTTTTGCGTTTCAATGAGACTGCGTTCGTGTACACATTCACCCGTTTGTGTTTACTACTTAAGCGACAATTTAGATTCTTGATGATTTTTATACTTATTTTGAATAAAAGTGCTCTTTAAAATCAAGCCTCGCAAGTTATTAAAATTGTCATAAAATTAATAGCGCGGTAAAACGGAAACAATGTAAGGTACATCACTGTATTTTGTTAATAAAATCACAATACCAACAACACTTGACACATAAACCCAAATATGGACAAATCACGATCGTACCGATATTTTGCATTGCGAGAGCCTTGATAAAAACCA